TCTCTTGGACTGACTGCATGCTGGTTGAAGTTACCTTTTGGTGACCAATATTGCATAGGTAGGTACCTACCAGGTAGGCACTTGAGCTTATACGCTTTTGCCGACCTCCCCGAGGAGGAAACATTGCATGGTTGACACACATCGGCGTGCATTTTCATCGAGCCAAAAGCCCGGAATGAGCTTTTTGGACGACGAGATACGTCCCCCGTATTCGGTCAAGACAGTTGCATAACAAGGTCGCAGCGGACTGCGTCATCCTTGTTGACTTCCCATGTGGAAAGGACTGCACGGGGTAACGAGAGATACAACATACCCATGTCTTGGCCCAAAGAACATATGTACGCTCGGACGGCAGCTTCCATCTTGGGGGGCCCCAGATCAATGCGCTGGAACTAATAATAAAATTGAAATTTTCTGCAGTCGAGGATGAATTCATGGCAAGTGCCTTCTTGGGGGTTGCATTCGGTATGGGGGATTGAAATGGAGACCATTAATTAGGGACGGGAAGTCAGTGTGGCACACACTCTCTCCTCAGTCTCCTGGTTTGTGTCTCAACACCGGTCTGCACACACGGCCCACGAGCTCACAGACGGAAGCCACAAGCCCTACCCAACCACGTGCGGTTGGCTGGCTAGCTGCGAACCTTCAACGGGGAGCTCCAATGGGAAATTTACAGAGGGCCGTGATGAGCAGCAGGTGGAGCACACGGAACCGTCGGGCGGATATTAAACGAGAGCCATGGCTGCCGAGAGCCTCAAGTGATCGTCTCTCGTCAATTTCTCGCTTGAGTTCCCCGAACCAACAAACTCCTCCCGAAGGTAGAATTGAGCTTCCCGTCGATGCGGTTCCCGGTAGAGGGTAAGGGCACTCAATCAATAGCACTGGATGGCGTTTACTGGTAGGGCGACTGCGAACAGTGGCAGAATAAAGTATTAAAGTGTCGTACCACTGACAGTTCGATTCAACATGGCAGGTGGGGTACGGAGTAAGTCACGGTGTACACGTATGGGCGGCAAATAAGGTCATCTGCCTGTCTCCTTCAGTTCTCCCCATTCCCTCCTTCCCTCCTTGGGAAAACCCGAACTCGTCCTTCCAATCAGCACTTTCCGTATACATATTTCCTGGGTCGTCGAGTCGTTCCTGGCTTTCCATCCGTTTGGTTTGACAGCAAACGGCATGCCCCGCAATTTGCATGTCTGGACGTTCTTAAACTGCAGTGGTCTGGGCTCTGCTCTTTCTGCAACAAACTTTGGTTGGTGGCATTTGCGTAATAATAAGCCGGAACAACAACGAAGAAATGCCGTCTCGAAAAAGCCACCACGACGATCTCTCAAATAATGCCAGTTCCAAAACCAGACTATTGCTCTACGATGCAGCAATAGCGTACAATATCTTCTACGTGTACACATATTTCTGGATCTCGCCCGTTGTGATCGCGGGAAGTGGGCAGAGCGAGGTGAGACACACAAAGTTGCCGGCATCTCGGTCAAGACGCCTTCGAACGCCACCACTTTTCTTACACATCCATGTCCTCCACCCTTCCCGCGAACTTTCTTGCCGTTTCTTTTCTTACCCCATGCAAAACACTCGATGTGCCCCAGGATCTCTGGCAAATCATCGCCACCACAGATCGGGCCCCGGTAACGGCGGACGACCACAAACCAGGTAATCCACACCAGGGACGCGGAAGCCGTAGCAACACCGACACCGTGGAGATATTTTGAGATGGGATACGCGCGTGGTGTGTAACAGCAAGCGATGTCACGATCGAGGAGTTACCATTGCTACACAACCCGGTGGTTGGTCGCATGTAAATATCCTTCATCCAGCTTCGCCGCTTTTGAACTGTCTGACTGTCCATGCAGACGGGAGTTGCAGAGTCGCCGACCTGCTTTGAACAGGACTGCAACGCCCATTCGTCAACCAAACACCGCAGCTCCAAGGGCCACCACAACCACAAAAACCCCAATGCGACTGTGGCGCCCTCATCTCCTCTTCATAGGCCGACTAATGCGGTTGGTGCAAACGTGGTTTTCCATGGACCATGGCACTCAGGCACTGTCGAAACAGTCCGTTCAGCGCGGCACGCAATCCGCGTCTTCGCTCCCGTGTCCTAGTTTCAACCTCCCTGAACATCCCAGCAGTACCCCGACCACCCCATACTAGCCGTTCCCTAATACGGACCGTGCTCCGGCTTCGCGACTGGCTGGGAGTGGTGGGCCACACTCTCTTCGTCGAAACCCCTGGCAACTTTAAATCCAGGACATGCGGGGGGACTGGTAGTGTCCTGCCCTTAGACCTAGAACACTGTTACGTTTCGAAAGCCTTCTTTTTATCCTCCTTCTCTTGCACGACTTAACGACGCCTTGCATGACTAGTTGCATTCCCTTTGCAGCCGGTGCCCAGGGGCCTTGTCCACTTCCCTGGGCAGTGTGCACTTGACCACACTGTGGCCCTTACCTCTGCCATGGGACGAGCCGTGAGTGGCCTAAGGGCGCCTGGATGGCCGATGTCCCGATGCAGGACTTGCCTGCGAGATTGCAAGGAGAGCAAAATGCCAGTGGCGCTTGCGTTGCCTCCATCCCACCGCTGCTCCTTGTTGACTTGCCTGTCGAGCTGGTATAATAACACCCACCTCCCGCCGCCACCCTCACCACACCCGTGAGAAGTACACCAAGTGCTTCGGGGTCTTTACTTCGCGTCCGCTTCAAGGAGACTCCGCCATCATGCTTCTCAACACGAGTCTCTGGCTCGCCGCTGCCGCGACGGTATCTGCTGTCGTTAGTGGTGTTCCCAGCTTCGACAAGAACAAGGTTGATTCGGGGGCCGCGCTCAGTGCTCTAAACGCGATTGCGAAGGCCAACGCATATAAGAATTTCAAGCCAGGCTGCAATGCCGGCAATGTCAAGATCCGGCAGGAATGGTAAGTTACAACCCAAAAGGCCGCCTGTATTGTCTTGCTTGAGTTGCGTTGACAAGGTCAACAGGAGAACTCTCAGTGCTCCCCAGCGCAAGAAATTCATCGCTGCGGTCAAGTGTTTGCAGAAAACTGGCACGAGCATACTGCCTGCTGGTGTAGCAGCCGGTTCGGTCTCTCTGTTTGATGACTTTGAAGCCATCCATATCAACCAGACCGGCAGCATCCATCTAACGGTAGGTCTTGGAAGAAGGATAGTCGCGTGCCGAGTTTACTAACCAATCCACAGGGGTCGTTCCTCACGTGGCATCGCTACTTCATTCACACGTACGAAAAGAAGCTCCAGGCATGTGGATATAATGGTTCGTTATCTCCCACAGTCCCCGGCGTCAACTCTCAACAGCAGTTGACTCTGCCCAACAGGAAATCTTCCCTACTGGGAATGGGGTTACGATGTGAAGAACCCCCGAAACTCGCCTGTGTTCGACGGTTCAGACACGTCCCTAGGTAGTGACGGCGTCTACTTTGAGCATCCCGGCCTCAAGATCAACACCCCCGGTGCTCTCATCGAGGTTGACCTGAAGCCCGGCACGGGTGGCGGCTGCGTCTATGCTGGGCCGTTCAAGAACATGACGACCCATCTTGGCCCTGTCATCCTGCCTGTTTATGGCGTCGCCAACACGTTCACTTTTGCGCCCAGCGGCAACCCGTTTGACGATAATCCGCGTTGCCTCAAGCGTGACTTGAATGCCGATGCGGCTTCGAGGTTCACGACCTTCCGCAACACGACCGAGCTCATCCTCCAAAACCAGAACGTTGAGTGGTTCCAGGGTGTCATGGTGAGTTTTCCCATTATTACCCAATCTGCTTTGTTTGATGCTACACAGTTGGCTGATGTGTCCTCTTTCCATCTCTAGCAAGGTGACTCGCGCTACGGCGACGGTGTCCTCGGCGTCCACGGTGGAGGACATTTCACCATCGGCGGTGACCCGGGCGCCGACCCCTTCGTCTCGCCTGGCGACCCTGCTTTCTATCTCCACCACGGTCAAATCGATCGCGTCTTCTGGATCTGGCAGATGCTGGATTTCCCCAACCGCCAGGTACGTATATTCTGTCGTTCCAGGATCGACAAACAGCTGCTGACGTTCACCTAGAATGTTTGGGGAACCCAGACACTTTTTAACCAGCCGCCGAGCCCCAACACCACGGTTAACGACTTGCTTGACATCTCACCTCTCAACACACCTGTTAAGATCAAGGATGTCATGAACACGGTCGGCGGAACTCCACTGTGCTATGTCTACATTTGATTTATTCTCTCTTTTTTTCCCGTCAGTTTTCAGACATTATAGAACGGGGCTTTTATCATCGGAAGCATTTGAGATTCTAGAAAGTCTTGTTTGTGCCTCCTGTACATAAGAACAAACAAGCCATTATCTGATTCCATGAATGAGTACTAACTTGGGCCAAGCCGAAGTGCTTGGCCGTTTGTCACAACCGAATCCAGATCGATGAACCAACTTCATTGACGAGACGTTTGATGCATCGTTAAATAAAGGCAACATTGGCAGTGCTAAATGGCTGCAAAAAAATAAGCTAAACTCCACTGTCACTGCAGCCAAGCTTTTTGGTCCGCAAACTTTGTTCTCACGTCAGTCGCTCCCAGGTTCCCAACAGAGATAAGCTGGCGATTGAACACAGGTCTCGATACTACGCCGCATCTCACTTGCAGTTTCTTCAGTGCAACCTATATCAACACCAGTTAGGTACATATTATCGCCCCGCTGCTTGTCTGTCTGATTTCTTGTCCTTTGTGAAACATAAGCTTCCTGTCACAAAAAGCAATTGTAAACCATGGTAACTGTGCAGAACTAGTGAACTACTGCAGCAGTCGCAGTTATTTTCCTGTACGACTAAAAACAAACTCCCTGATGTTAAAGTCAGTCAACTCGCGGTTTTATTATCTCTTAAAAGATGTACAGTGATTTAACACGGTCACAAAAACGGGATCCGTGTATAAATGAAAATCTAGCTACTATTTGAAGGTTGAAAAAGGATGATGAAATATGAGGAGGAAAAAGATAGGTCGTGCCCGGAATCGAACCGGGGTTGCCGGAAGATATTGTTCGAATCAGAATCCGGAGTGATAACCGCTACACTACACAACCTTGGATCTTGAATGTGTGCAAATTTTGAGTGTAGAGTATATCAAGCTGAAGCGGGGTTGCCGCTAGACAGAAGTCTCCACCCAAACGGATGTGATTGGCTGGAGTAACCAAGTCCTTCTCGCGGTGTTAGTGCTGGATCGAAGGAAGTACCTAGGTTCTAGTTGGCAATCTTAAGTAGGTACTTAAGGTACCCAACATCTTTGCCAGATTCCAGACTGATTGGAGTGAGGCTATCCCGTACTATTCCTCGACCGCTTATCTGCATCTTGAATAACCCAACCCCGCGCGTTCTAGACCTGATGGCTTGCAGTTTCAGGTCGCCCTAGTCTAGTCTAGACATTGGTTCAGGACTTGTATCAGACGACCTCCATTGCAGCCACTGAGGATAGGGTGGTATCTCAGCTTCGAAAGTGCATACGGCGCTCGAATAACTTGGGCCTCCTCATTGATATTGCGGGCGATCTACTGGAGATTTATGAGCTAGTTACCTGCACAGCCAGCCACATCTTGCTCCTCTCAGCCAGCCACCAACATGCCGACTCACCAAACGACTCTTCTCGGTCAATTCGAGGATAACATGGGCAAGGAGAATCGGATTAGTGCTGCGGCTATCTATATAATGTCGACCTTGCCCATGATGTTTCTAACAGATTAGGATAACCCCGGCAGGGACGGACGACAACAACAGTCTCACTTGTCACTACTTCTGTCGAAAAACAATGGCCGCCCCAACCACATCCGCGCGTGCCGCCTACGCCAAGGAGATTCTGCGTCGGGAAGTGCGGCCCAAGGTCCCAGGCCATGGTCAGGAGGGTATTCCTGCCCCTCCTCGGGTTCCCCAGGTGGACCGCGACGTCAGATCGGACCGGATCTGTATTATCGGCGCCGGCACTTGCGGCTTGTACCTGGCCATGATGCTCAAATCCTTTGGCTTTACCAAAGTCGACATTCTTGAGGCGAACGACCAAGTTGGCGGGCGATGCTATACTTGGCCAAAGACTGATGAGCCCCAGAGTGGTCAGATCGACCACTTCTACTACGACGTTGGTGCCATGCGGATCCCTCAGGTGCCTTGGATGGCCGGGTGAGCTTTATTTCATTTATTAACCAATTGAGTATTCATGACATCTGACGGTTGGAAGCACACTGCACTTCATCCAGAACACCCTTGGCCTCAAGACGCCGGCATATATCTACGACCTTCCCGGTGTCCCTGTTTCGTACTGGTACAAAAATGACACCATCAGGTGAGCACTATTAATGTTCGCTCTTACGCATGATTGTTAGCGGTAGTCATTGTGGCGCCGTACACCGTCGCTAACAAGCTGCAGGGACGACACCTTCGATACTTACATGTCGCAGCTGGCGTCCGATTTCCTGCCCGACAAAGACACTGGCAACGATCCCGACTTCGACAAGGCGTTTGCAGCGTGGCTACAGCCGTCACCTGATCCCACCTACACGGGACCAGACCCAAAGCCCATGCTCTACAAGGATAACTTCTCGACAAGAGCTTGGCTCATGAACAAAGTCCCACCCGTCGGGAGCTGGACCTATGCTGATACTGCCAAAGCAGAGCTCTACGATACGTAAGTACAGTTCCGTCTCTCCTTCTCCAGCAGCATCGATGATATACCCACAAGCGGGCAAGGATTATCCGCTGACACACTATTACCCTTTTTACCAGCTCGACGGGTCTGTTCGACCAATCGCTGACCGAAACTGTTATCGACTACGCCGATTTTCATTACAAGAAATCTGGCAAACAAAACCTTCCCTGGTTCCGTATCGAGGGCGGTATGCAACTGGTGCCAGAGACCATGGCCAACATGCTGGCCTCGACAACGTGGCCCAAACCGGACGTGCCGTCGTGGAAGGTGACGCTGAACACACCCGTGACAAAGTTAGCCTATGACGCCCCGTCCAAAACAGTCTCGGTCGAGACGGCAGGCGGCGGTACGACGACGTCGTACGACATGGTGTTCAACACGACGGCCATGGGGCCTTTGCAGCGTATGGATCTTTCCGGTCTCAATCTCCCCAACACCGTGCTCGACGCCATCCGCAGCCTCAGCTACGACCGCGCGACCAAAGTAGCCATCAAGTTCAAAAAGGCCTGGTGGACCACCGACTACGGCATCGTCGGCGGCGTCTCGTCGAGCGACCTGCCCATCAGCAACGTCGTGTATCCCTCCTGGAACGACAACGATGGCGAAAGCCCTGCCGTGCTGATGGTCTCGTACGCATGGGCCCAGGACGCCACGCGCATGGCTTCGATGGTGGCAGACTACACTGTCCCAGGCGTAAAACGGACGCCCGACGATGCCATCGTCACGCTCTGTCTGAAGGATCTTGTTCAGCTGTTCAAGGGCAGAACCCCAGAGCTCACGTTCGACTATCTGAAAGGCCTTGTTGAAGATGACCCCAGCGACGCCTTTGGCCCCTACCACGCCTGGGCCTGGTCGCACGACCCGTGGACGGGCGGCGCCTTTGCTCTGTTTGGGCCGGGCCAGTTCCAGAACATATATGCGCCCTGTCAGGCGCTCTTTTGTCCCGATGCGCCAGATAGGCCGGGCTACCACTTTGCCATGGCGGGTGAGGCGCTCAGTGCCCACCACGCCTGGATCTGCGGTGCGTTCGACAGCGCCTACACGACGCTGTGGACATGGCTGCAGTCGCTTGGGCAGCAGGACTTGGTGGATAAGCTGCAAGACTCGTGCTTTGGAGACGGCCAGGGTAAGCACGTGCAGGAGCTGGATGAGGATCTGTTTGGCTGGGTTATGCATTTTTCTAAGGAAGTTTGGGCGGAGGAGGAGAAAGAGAAGAAGTTGGCTGTCGGGTTGGGGAAGCCGACGGAATGAATTGATGTTTCTTATTAACGAGCTATGGCATGCAGAAGATGGAATCCAGAGGCTGATTACAGCCTTTCTGTTGAATAAACGAATACATGCACACTTTCTTTGCTCCAGGTATAAGATGCCGCGCGGGAGTGCGGTCATCTAGGATATCTAGCCTTCTAACACGAACAGGGACGAGTCTCTTCTTTGTCTCAAATTTCTGGCTGACATCAGTACTACCTATCACTAGGGATGGTGCTAGGTGAGGCATTGCTTTTCATAACCGGCTCAACCAGGGGGCCGAGTAATCCTGCATTTCTGTACTCATCATGCGCCTAACGACAAAATCAAATGCCTATACCATCATGCAACCGGAACAATTCTGGAACCTCTTGCTCAATGCAACAACCAACCAATATCCCAACGCCCACGCCATGCTAGATAAGACTATTTATGATTCGGCCTAGACAGTCATCTGGAAATCCACCCGCCTCCCCCCATTGAACCCTCTCACACTCCTCGCCAGTCCAACGATTCCGTCCTTATCCACGCCATACTTGATCTCCATACCGCCCAGCTCGTTAGGAAGGTATGTCTTGGCCGCGTCCGTGGCGGCGTGTTCGCGCAGATACGACGTCTGCGCGCTCTTGAGCATCTCGCCCGCGCCCGCCAGCCGCATCACGGGCACCCCTTCCCTGGCATGGACGCAGGCGTTCCACCAGGCCAGGCCGATCATGATGCCTATGGCTAGAATAGGGAGGATGATGAGCAGTAACGCCCGGGCGGGGTCTAACTTTCTGGTTTTGATGGTGGATGTGAGTGTTTGGTTCATCGTAGTGTTGCTGTTGGACGAGGTGGTCGTTGAAGTGGCTTGGGCGAGTGCGCCGACGGCAATGCGGATAAATGACTCGATGCCGTCTTTCGTCCATGTATTCCGCTCCTTAATCGACGAGGTGTATGGGACCGGGCGGTCGGTGTCGGTCGAGTTGAAGAACATGGGCTGTGTTCCATCCACGCTGCTCCCGACCATGAGCGGTGCCGCGGTGAACCATAGCAATATCTCGTTGATGGCAGTCTCAGCGGGGGCTGAAGAGCTCACCTTGAGGTTGGCGAGGGATGAAAGAATTGCCTGGTTGGCGGCCGCCGGCGGGACAGAGCCTTCGGCCTGGTCAGGAACCGCAAACATAGTATCCATCGCTTCGACATCGACTTCGCAAGCCACCGACGAAGCGCCCGTCATGTTCCCCAGGACAGCCGGTGTCCAATCCCCACCGTCGATAGTTCCATTCAGAGCAGCAAAGATCAAGGTCGCCTGTGTGCGGTGCGCTGAAACAAAAGCGAACTGGTCGACCCAAAGCGTCAACTGCGGCGCGGTACGAACCCAGATCTCTCTCTTCTGGTAGCTGTTCCTGCTCCGCGTCATGTTTGTCAAAAAGGCATTCCACAACAGTCCATCCCTGTTAACCTGTTGCAGCTTGTGTGGCCGACACGAGATGGAAGTCTGCAGCCTGACAGCCGCCGCGCCCGAGAAACTGCCCCGTTGGCTGAGAGCGTCTCTGTCGACGTACCAGTCCCTGAATTCCGGCAGCGGCTCCGACGCCGGATCCGTCGCCCAAGCATTATACTTGGCCAACACGCCCACCATGACGGATGTCGGCGGGTCGGTCTGGGCGTACAGCTCGCCGATCCCGCCGCTGCCACTGATATAGCTGCTCTCCATCTGGACCGGCATCCAAGTCGGCGTGAAGGCATATCCGACAAGCGGCGGAGCGGCGAGTGGCAGCAGAGTCACCGTAATTGCACATGCTAACACTATTCCGGCCGCGGCGGTCTTGATCGCCATGAGGGCTCCAGGGGCGGAGAGGATGGAGCCACGGGTTGTCGATATGTACGCCTCGAGTTGTCGGATGGTGAAGACTTGTTTGGCCAGCAGTGGCCAGACCGCGGCCTCGCACAGAGCAAGCGCAACGTGTGTCAACGCTACCATTCCGATAAAGTAAACGAGGGTGATGATGCCCTGAACCGTTGCGAGGTGTTGGACCGTCCAGTCGTCCGCCCTGTTGCAGCTGCCAGGCATGGCCCACGCTGGACAGTCCAGCATCTGTTTACTTGTCGCGCTGGTGTATACGATGGCAACAATGACAAATATGGCCCCCGCAAACA